TACCCCGTTATTTCTCCTGTTTTATCCCCCCGTACCCCGTTTTGTGCCCCCGTACCCCGTTTTGAGGTGCTGCAGCGCGTCCTCCACGCCGCGCTGGTTGTAGCGCACCATGTAACTGTGCATGGCCGGGTAATTGCTGCGGATGTTCTTCTCCGTGCTGCCGTTGGGCACCGTGCCGAACTTCAGCGGGGGGTACTGCTCCTGGGGCCGCTGGAACTGCACCCCAAAAACCCCAAAATCTCCTCAGGAACCCCAAAAATCCACGGGAACACCCAAAAACAAACCTGAGCCAACAGGGACCCAAATACACCCACCCAACACCCAAAGGTGACACCCAAAAGTGACACCACGCCCTCAACATCTCCTGAGCTTCATGGGGGTGCTGATCCTGGAACTGCGCCCCAAAAACCCCGAAAATCACCTCAGGGACCCCAAAAATCCACGGGAACGTGCAACAAGACCCACCAACCCCCACCCAACACCCAAAGGTGACACCACGCCCTCAACATCTCCTGAGCTTCAGGGGGTGCTTCTTCTTGGATTGTGCCCCAAAATCCCCCAAAATCACCTCAGGAACCCCAAAAACCCACGGGAACGTGCAACATGACCCACCAACCCCCACCCAACACCCAAAGGTGACACCCAAAGGTGACACCCAGCCCCCAGCGCCGGCGCCCCGCGGTGTCACCTTGCGGTCGCTGAGGCCGGACACGGTGTCCACGTACTCCTCCTGGATCATGAAGGCCGCCAGGTTGGCCGTGTAGCTGGCGAGGAAGATGACGGCGAAGAAGGCCCAGACCAGCACCATGATCTTGCTGGTGGTGCCCTTGGGGTTCTCCACCGGCACCGAGTTGTTGAACACCAGAGCCCACAGCAGCCAGATGGACTTGCCGATGGTGAAGGTGGAGCCGCCGGCACCTGGGGGACGGGGGGACAGGGTCACCTGGGGTCCCCCAGAGTCACCTGAGGTCACCTTGGGTCACCCAGAGTCACCTGAGGTCACCTGGGGTCCCCCAGAGTCACCTGAGGTCACCTTGGGTCACCCAGAGTCACCTGGGGTCACCCCAAGGACAGGGGACACCACCAGCAGCCAGATGGACTTGCCAACGGTGAAGGTGGAGCCACCAGCACCTGGGGGGACGGGGGACAGGGGGACATGGTCACCTGGGGTCACCCAGAGTCACCTGAGGTCACCTTGGGTCACCCAGAGTCACCTGGGGTCATCTGGGGTCACCCAGAGTCACTTTGGGTCACCTGGGGCCACCTTGGGTCACCTGGGATCACCTTGGGTCACCTGGGGCCACCTTGGGTCACCCAGAGTCACCTTGGGTCACCTGGGGCCACCTTGGGTCACCCAGAGTCACTTTGGGTCACCTGGGATCACCTTGGGTCACCTGGGGCCATCTTGGGTCACCCAGAGTCACTTTGGGTCACCCCAAGGACAGGGGACACCACCAGTGGGCAGATGGACACGCTGATGTTGGGGAGACAGGGGACAGCATCACCTGGGGCCACCTGGAGTCACCTGGGGCCACCTTGGGTCACCCAGAGTCACCTGGGGTCACCTGGGACCACCCAAGGACAGGGGACACTGGGGGGACACAAGGGGACACAAGGAGACACTGGGGGGACACGAGGGGACACTGGGGGGTCACAAGGGGACACGAGGACATGAGGGGACACGAGGGGACCCCATCGACGCCCAGAGCAGCTGATGGATTTGTCACTGGTGAACATGGAGCTGCCCAGACTTGGGGACACCAGGGGTGACACGGGGGTGACACGGGGACAGCGGGTCACTCACGCTGGCCGCTGGCCAGGCTCCGGTTGTAGCCCACGGGGCTGAAGTACTCGAAGATGAAGACGGTGACGGCCACCACGGTGAGACACATGACGAACATCATCACCCACACGGCCGGGCTGTACGGCTCTGCGGGGACAGCGGGGACATTGGGGACAGCGGGGACATTGGGGACACTGGGGACATCAGGGGACATTGGGGACATTGAGAACATCGGGGACAGCAGGGACATTGGGGACATCAGGGGTATTGGGGACATTGGGGACATTGGGGCCATTGAGGGATTGGGGACATCAGGGATATTGGGGACATCGGGGACATCAGGGACAGGAGGGGACACAGGGGACAGCAGGGACATCGGGGACATCAGGGACAGGAGGGGACACTGGGGACATTGGGGACACACATGGGGACATGGAGGGCAGTAAATTCTTTGGGCACAAAGGGACATTGGGTTTTGGGGGTCCTGGTTGGAATTTTGGGGATCCCAGTTGGGTTTTGGGGATCCCAGTTGGGTTTGGAAGATCCCAGTTGGGTTTTGGGGATCCCAGTTGGGTTTGGAAGATCCCAGTTGGGTTTGGGAAGATCCCAGTTGGGTTTTGGAGATCCCAGTTGGGTTTGGAAGATCCCAGTTGGGTTTTGGGGATCCCAGTTGAGTTTTGGAGATCCCAGTTGGGTTTTGGGAGATCCCAGTTGGGTTTTGGGAGATCCCAGTTGGATTTTTGGGGATCCCAGTTGGGTTTTGGTGGATCCCAGTTGGGTTTTGGGGATCCCAGTTGGGTTTTGGGAGATCCCAGTTGGGTTTTGGTGGATCCCAGTTGGGTCTGGGAGATCCCAGTTGGGTTTTGGAGATCCCAGTTGGGTTTGGGAGATCCCAGTTGGGTTTTGGGGATCCCAGTTGGGGTTTGGGAGATCCCAGTTGGGTTTTGGGGATCCCAGTTGAGTTTTGGAGATCCCAGTTGGGTTTTGGGGATCCCAGTTGGGTTTGGGAGATCCCAGTTGGGTTTTGGGGATCCCAGTTGGGTTTTGGAGATCCCAGTTGGGTTTGGGAGATCCCAGTTGGGTTTGGAGGATCCCAGTTGGGTTTTGGAGATCCCAGTTGGGTTTTGGGGATCCCAGTTGGGTTTTGGGAGATCCCAGTTGGGTTTTGGAGATCCCAGTTGGGTTTTGGGAGATCCCAGTTGGATTTTGGGGATCCCAGTTGAGTTTTGGGGATCCCAGTTGAGTTTTGGAGATCCCAGTTGGGTTTTGGGAGATCCCAGTTGGGTTTTGGGGATCCCAGTTGGGTTTTGGGGATCCCAGTTGGGTTTTGGGGATCCCAGTTGAGTTTTGGGGATCCCAGTTGGGTCTGGGAGATCCCAGTTGGGTTTTGGAGATCCCAGTTGGGTTTGGGAGATCCCAGTTGGGTTTGGAGGATCCCAGTTGGGTTTTTGGAGATCCCAGTTGGGTTTGGGAGATCCCAGTTGAGTTTTGGAGATCCCAGTTGGGTTTTGGGGATCCCAATTGGGTTTGGGGGATCCCAGTTGGGTTTTGGAGATCCCAGTTGAGTTTTGGTGGATCCCAGTTGGGTTTTGGGGATCCCAGTTGGGTTTTGGGAGATGCCAGTTGGGTCTGGGAGATCCCAGTTGGGTTTTGGGGATCCCAGTTGGGTTTTGGAGATCCCAGTTGAGTTTTGGGGATCCCAGTTGAGTTTTGGTGGATCCCAGTTGGGTTTTTGGGGTACCCAGGAAGGCGGAGGGGGACACGGTGCCGTTGCTGCGGGACACCATCACGCTGATGCCGGTCTCCACGAA